GCTTCGAATATTCAGGCGAAAGAGCTCACATCCTTCTCTTTTCTTTTTGGTGTGCGTGTTACTTTGCAGGAGCCGAAGTCCTTTAAAAGATACGACAGCACCAACTAGGAACAGGACATCGCGCAGGCCAGCGAATTTATAGATAAAATTATAAGCTATCGATTCTTACCTTATCACTTGTTCTTTATAGCTTTACTGACAGAGGCCGTGATTTAGCAGAATACTTAATCAAGCGTTGTCGTAGAATAAGGTTAATAAATTTGGAAAGCTAAGAACCTTTCCTTCTTTTGCCAAATTCAAGATTTTATGAATAAATGGAAGAGTAGCATGATTGTGATTAAATGGACTTCTTGATTGAAGCAAAGCATTATGTAAAAGTGGAAAAACCTGCACCAAATAGGATTTGACTGCATGACTTACCTGAGAGACAACACACTTACCACACCAGCCTTCCTCACAGTATATTGCTATTGAAATCCTACTAACCTACCGTCCTTTGCGGATCCACAACAATTTTCTAAGTTTCGTTTAGCAGGAGACTAGGGCCCGCAGTAAAGTCCCCTCAGCAGAGATCACCTGAGGACAGCGTCAGGTGAACTCACTCCAAAGCAGGCAAGGTAGAGGGGAATAATTGATTGCAAAGATCCATGGCATGAGCAATTAACTTCAATTAGACTTTTAATAACTTAATCTTGTTATGTGTTGTCGGTTTAGTGGTTTAGATGGCGGCCACTGAGCAACTGACCATGGTTCGAGTCCGCTCAATGGTACCTTCTTTTGCATGTGTAGGAGTTATATGGAGGATCATAGGTGAAAGTTGTACAGTTGGTAACAGAACGGTTTCGAACCAAATCATTGATTAGGAGCGAATCTTGGGTAAATCACTAGCAAAAGTTTGCATTTTGGGTCGGCGGTGCCCCACATTTGACGCAAGGGTACATATCGTCAGGGGAGCTCGTAAATTGGTTCCGAGCAACTTACGAGTTCCCCTGACGGACTCTCGTAAAACACACGCTATTTCATTTGTATGACCCGTTAGGCG